ATAGTGCTGAGCAGCCTGGGGGTAGGAATAAAAAAGGTAGATATTTGAATTGAAATAGGATGAGGACAGGAGCTTGCAAACCATAGCTTTAGGGCCAAATGAGGCCCCTCCTTGTTTTTTGTAAGTGAGGTTTTATTGGAACAAGCACAGTAATTGGTTTACATGTAATCTCTGTTTGCTTTTGTGCTGTAACAACAGAACTGACTAGTTGGAGTAGAGGCTGTAGGTCTCATAAAGCCCAAAATATTTACCATCTGGTCCTTTACAGGAAAGGTCTGCTGACTCCTAGATTAGGAATTAGCATGACTCCTAGATTAGGAATTAACAGCAGATAAAGCAGAAAAAACGTGGTGGGTGTAATGGAGGAAGTAATGGGAATAATGAAGGTCATGGGGGAAGACAAGAGAGGAGACTCAGGTGGACATTGATGGAGTGAGAGAAGTACAAGGATCCTTGGATCTTCTGGCTCAATGAGGCCAAAGTGTAGTTGCATTAAAAGGAAGAAGAGGGCTGGAAGTAATCAAGAAAATGTCCTCTTGGAAAGCAAGATTTCAGAGCAGGGCCGCTCTGAGTGATGGCCTCTTCCAGAGAGCGCTCAGTGGAATGGCTAAAGGCGACTCGTGCTTGGGGAATTCAGGAAATGATGAGGTAGGATTGATGGCCAGTGTCTGTGGATGCAGGGTGACCGAGGCTAGAAAAGACAGCGTCTATTTTCTGTTTTTTCTATTTTTACTGTTCTAAGAAGTATTTGTGTATATGAAGGGTCCAGGCCTGGTGGTATAAACTCTTTGGAGATAATGAGCTGGGTACATTTTAAAAGATTTCCGCACTCACAGTGTAGCGGATTTCAGCCATTGGGGGACTGTGCAAGGCAGCCGCCCAATACACGTTAATGTTTTCATTCTGATACTTTCACTGAATGATTTGCTGCAGCAACTTCCTTGACCTTTTGATGTAAATAACTCTGTTCCTAGAACAGTCCATTCCTTCTCCTCCTCTGTTTAAATTTTAAGTTATTTATCTGTAGGTCCAACTATTCTTTTAGGTCATTAGATGGTTTGTCACGCATGCTGGAAAGAGAAAGGGAGCTAGTAGGTACATGGAGTCAGATCATTATGTTCACAAGCTGCAGTTCGTGTTAGGCTGCACTGGACTTGACTTTCTAACTTAGGGGAGGAAACAAATCTATACGTTCTCGTGCTGGGATAGAGGTGACTGTTCTCCCTGGCTCCAGCCTTTGTTTCTGTCTCATTGATCCCATTTTTGTACCCTGGATGTCAGTAGTGGTTGTTCGGTAGAGCTGTTTGTCAGTCCATCTTTGCTAAGGAAAGAAACCACACGTCACACACACACACACACACACACACATGCACACGCACACGCCCTTTAACTTTTTGCTTGTGGAAGTCTTTAGAGCCAAAATAATGAACATTTCCCAAAAAGAAATGGGGAAAATGGTAGAAAACTGCTCTGCAGACTTGCTCAGCTGACCCTGAGCTCCCGGTCAGGCTGGTTCAGAAGCAGCGTGCAGAGTGGAGGGTAGAAGCGAGTCTGATCGTACCCGGCAGGAAAGTCAGGGCGGCACCTGCGGCGCTGCCCCCAGACTCGGCCCCAGCAGCTCCTCCAGCAGCACAGCTACTGCCTGCCTTCTTGCAGACAAAAAGACACACGGATTTGGTGTTTTAAATTCAACAAACCAAATTTACAGTCCACAGGTAAGTAAGAGAAGTCATCATTAATCCAATAACCCAATCGTCCCAGTAACAATTTAGTATTAGTGATTAGGGGCGGACTCATTAGACTTTCTCTCGAATTTTATGTTATTCCTAAATCTGTTTCTTTCATATAGCTTATTTTTAATAATGACATTAAAGTAAATTTTCAAATATTATGTTTTTAAAAAACTGAGCTCTAATTCATGGACCAGAAAATGTGCTCTATTAAAGGGTACAATTTAGTAGGTTTTAGTATATCACCAGAAATGTTCAATCATCACCACTAATTCCGGAACATTTTCATTACCCCAAAGAAGTCCTGCATCCATTAGCAGTCACTCCCCATTCCTCCCTCCCCCTAGCGCTTCCCCGGAACCAGTAATCTACTTTCTCTATTTGCCTACTAGGGACCTCTCATGGTATGGAATCATACAATGTCTTTTGTGTCTGGATTCTTTCCCTTCGCACCGTGTGTTCAAAGTTCATCCATGTTGTCACATAAATCAGTACTTCCCTCTTTCTTGTGGCTGAGTGATATCCTATTGCAGAGATAAACATGTTTTATTTACCCATTCATCAGTTAATGGATATTTGAGTTTTTCCACTTTTTGGCAATTACGAATAATTTTGCTATGGACACTTATGTAAAATGCTACTTTTTACATCACCGAGCAAAACCAGAATGTCTTATTTCACGTGCACAGTTAACTTGACAGTCATTATATGTCAGGAAAACTGAGAGGAAGGAACTGGACAAAAAACAAAAATTTCCTCTGTTCTATAGTGAGTAGTTGGAAGTGTTTAGTTGACCAAGGACCTGCCACTAACAGAAAAATTTACATTTACAACTATAGCTGGAGAGAGTTTAGAAATGTTTCTAGAAACGCATTTGTCATTATATTTTTGTAAGGCAGTTCTTCTAAATGCTTCTGAAATTTAAAGTTACAATATAATAATCAACGGGTCTGATGTTTTCCGTGAGTATAAAAAGTTAAAGATAACACATGAGCAGTTAGAATCATTTTATGGGTGCTATCTTTAAGCAAGTGCGACATTAATTGGCGTGCATCTATCACACGGGGAGATTTTTAATGGCAGCCCTTCCTCGCCGCTCTCGGTTGCACGGCAGCTCTGGTGGCTGCACTGTATGGACAGGACGAATGTCCACAGGAGAGTCACATAGCCTTCTGCAGTGAGCGGGAGCCCGAGCAGGATAACGCAATGGGCAGGAGGCGCCCTGAAGAGAGCTTCATGTGTCTGCTACAGCTGTGGTGTGTTTGGAAACAAAAGTAAATTGGTGTGCTGCAATTAGAGATAAAGTGGCTTTTTATGGGCAAAAGCCTGTGAATCGAAGCTACGAAACTGTAAACAATGATAAGCCGGTTAGGCGGCAGTTGCAGCTCCAACGGGAAAGAAAGGTGGACAGAGAGGAGAAAGCCGGGATTCTCAGACTTGGGCAGGCATCAGGAACAGCCGGAGGCCGGCTGGAGCTCGGGTTCCTGGGCACGACCCTAGTTTCTGATTTCGTTTAGGGGGCTTGGGCCCAAGAACCTCATTTCTGACGAGTTCCCGAGTGCTGCTGCCGCGTGTTCCGGGGCGCTCAGAGAACCGCCAGCGTCCAGCGAAAGCCGGTGGAAGTGAACCAGGTTATTGTCATCGTGTCGCGCCACGTGACTGCCACACCTGTGTTATCCTTTCTCAGTAAACTGCTGGAGAATGGGCTACCCCCAAATGAGGGTACACCAAGAAAGAGACACGGGGTATGGAAACCAACCCAGGAGGATGGAGCAGGGACATGTCAGGGGACAACTGTCACCCAAACAGAGCACACTCGGAGTGGCGGTGTGACTCAGAATGCGTCGAGGTGCCCATCACCATCATGCCGTCTCTTCAACACGACGACAGACGTCAGGATGAGGCTGACCTAGATTCTTCCATGCGCTCCTCTGGCCTCGACCATGTGCCGATGAAGCTCCCGTTTTCCTTTTCGTGCCCTGCTGCTGCATCGGCTGAGAACACTCATTTCACCCCCAAAATGTCTTGTGATTGGAATTTTTCCTAAAAGCTGGAGATGGGCCTCAGAGAGCTTTGAAGCAGAAAATAGAAGCCGCCTGCCCCAGTCATGGTTTTTTTTTTTTTTTTACAGGAGATTCAATTTGGTTTAAAGGGACATGCAAATATAAAGCAAAATAATATGTAAGTCATGTGTGTTAAGGGGTCGGTGTTAATTTCCCTGTTCTATGACTTCAGCTTTCTTTTATTATTATTAAAGTAACAAGTCTATTTAGCTGTAATGACGTTGGAACTGGATTTTGAACTGGATTTGTACGAGCTTTGGAACTCGTACCACCTAACACACGCATGAGTGTCAATAACTATTCCAAGTCAGGAAACAGTTTTGTGTCAAAGAAAGTTTGGAAACCCCTTGAATAAATTATTGTAGATTTCTCAGAACTTCCAATGTGCTAATGTTCATTATTAAACTCCTAAAGAGAGGCACAGTGTGCAATTGCCCAGTCTTACCTGACTTTACAATCCTGTTTTCACCAAACATCTTTTTACATCTTAAGGAACACAGTGTTCCTCAGAACACGGGAAATAACAGTGTAGAATGAATGCAAAAGAAGAGAGTATGATTTTTGCCTGAAATGGAGTTAAAGTAGTATCAAATGTTTAGTTTTGTGGAAACCAGGTTTAGAATGCTTTTTATTTTACTTATTTTTTGATGAAAAAAATTATATACATGGACTCAAATGTTTCACATCTCAGGTTGTTTGGAGTTTAATCTCGACTGTGTTTGAGCAGTTAGAGAAAGAAATTTGTTTCATAGCTTTCGGGTTCTTGTAGTTGGTTGTTCATTTTGCCATAATATTCTCTGTAGAAAAAAAAAAGGAAGACGGAATCTAAGTTACAGCTTTCTCACACTGTTTACTTTAAATGCCAATTTAAAATGCCACCAGTCAGTAGAATAGGGTGTAATACTTTACTTTTCTGCTCTCTGGTAAGTGTAGTGTAAAAATATGTCCAGCACAGTTCAGAGTCAAGGCGAATATTGATACTTTGTTAGCTTCATTTCCATGGCGGTAGTGGTATAGGATAACATCTTTGGATTTTCTCCACTTCCTGCTTTGGGTTTGTTTAGGCTTATTATGGATATTTAACATATACCATTTTAAGGAGTGTATGTTGAGACCTTGCCCATAGGATTTTACATTGTAAAATTATTTTATTTATTACTCTCATTTGTACATTGCATAATCTTTCTCTCCCATTTATACCTTTCAGTTTCAACCACTTCTGAAGGAACATCCTCCTTTTCCACTTTATCTCTGTCACCTCCTGATTCAGCCTCTCCAGAAAAATCTGTTCATCTCTTACACCCGATTTTGGCTGGACCTTCCTTCTGGACTCTGTCCCATCAGCAGTCTTCTGCCTCCTTTAAGGATAAAGATAAGAGAGCCAGGGCTCATCACCCCTTAGCTCCTAGGGGCCTAGTGTCTTCTGATGAAGAGGAAAATGACAACCTCTATCTACTGGAACGTCTTCCAGATAACTCTGAGTCTGCCAGGAAGCAGACAAGTCCTGCTTCTGGCCATAATTGGGCAGAGTTTCCCACTGCAAATGTAGACCACTTTACCTCTCTGTCCTGTCCGAGTTTTCAGACAACTGAAGGCCTGCCGAAAGAGCCTGAGGGAAACGATTCCATTAAAGCTCTCCTTGGAGAGGTGAAAAATGCCGTAGTCAAACTACATGAAGACCTGAATGTGGTGATACGGGAAATTCGTGTAATCAGTAGCCATCTGGTGAGCATGAGGGGGAATAGTCCACAACTAAGCAAATCTTCACAGCTTCCCCAGTCTTCTGAGGGGACGTTGGATCACATCTAATAAGCTCCATAGCCATTTTTGGTAGAACTCATGTGGTTCCACTTCCCAAAGACCAGGTTGGCCTCCTATAGATTCTTACAAGGTGGTGGTTTGATTTTTCCTTGTCAGGCTTATTAACCAATCTCTTTCCAACCAATAAACTCATTTGGTTTATTTTTTAAAGAGAAAAGGTATCACCTTTGTTAATATCAGATTTAGATATGAACTAAGGTTCCTTTGAAGCTGAAGAGAATTTCATCCTTCCACGCTTTGGACTTTACCTCAAAATATGTTAAACATTAGTGGAGGTTGTGGGAAGACAAACTGCAGATGGCTATTCTAGAGCATTTGGATAAGCAGTCAGAAGCCCTTCACAGCCTGGGTAGATGTTTCCTAAGGTCTCGTGCCAAGTTTCAGATTCCCTAAACCAAGGGCCAGCAATCTTTCCCTTCTTGTGGCTGCCACTGTTGGTTGGGGGTTAAGTTGAGACAAGTAAGACACTGACCAGGAGTTTTTATGTTAATGTATATTGCAAAGTGAATTCAAATGCATACTTTTTTCTTGTATTTGGAAAATAAATTTGATATTTTTCATCTAACATGTATCTTTTTAATTTGACAGCCTTTTAAGTAGAAATGTCTCAATTTTTATATTTATGGGAAAATGATCTAGTTTGGGGGTCATAGACCAGTGCTTCTCAACCCTGCTGCACACCAGAATCACCAAAGATGCTTTTATTCCTGTTTTATATTAATTTGAAAGGACATTGCAAGGGCTCCATGTACCCATCACTCAGTTTCGACAATTACCAACTAAAAGCTAAAATAATTCCTGATTATTTTGAAGAAATATGGGACATTCAAAAATATCCTAATGCTGGGTGCATTCCCAAGCCAAAACTGATTTTTCCCCATGCAAACTGGGTTAAGAAGTAGAGGGAACTGCCAGTGAAACTGTTAGTGGGAAGACTGGGATGTGGGAGGAGGTTTGGCATATTTGCGGAGGGGCAAGGAAGTCACTGTGGCTGGTGTGAAGTGAGGACAGGAAAGAACAGTAGGAGATTTGAGGTCCTGGAGGAAAGGGCAAGGAGTAGTGCCAGATGATATAGGTTCTAGAAGACCATTGTTAGAGATTCTGACCTTTATGAAATAAAAACTGTGACAAGATTTTAGGGTGAAAAATGATCTTAGGGCTCTAAATGATAGTGTTAGTGTTGGCTTTGGGGGAGAGATGGAGGCCATGGGGTGAGGCATGTAAGCCAATCAGAAGGTGATGGCAATTATCCAGATAAGAGCTGACGGTGGATCAAACCAGGGTAGGCATAGCGAAGGTACGTGAGAAGAGATTCGTTTAGGGATTTGCTGATGCGTTGGATAAAATATGTGATAGAGAAGAGTGACAGCCAAACCCCAAGGTATTGGATTGAGCAATTGAAATTCAAGATGAATTTGACATCAACTGGAATGAGGAAGGTTGCAGATAAGGCAAATGTTGAGGCATTCGTTTTTTAGATTGGTTAAATCTCAGATTGCATAACCCAAGTGGAGATAGCAAGTAAACAACTGGATGTGAGACTTGAGTCTGAGAGAGAGACCTAGATTGGAATGGAGGCAGGGGTTAGTAATGAGTGGTTATTTCAATCTATGAGACTGGATAAAATTGCCAAAGGAGTGAGTATGATAGTGGAGAGAATTTGAAGGCCTGAGCCCTGGGGCATTCTAACAAGAAGATCAAGAAGTTGAGCAATCTGTGAATGAGGCTGAGAAGATAGCTACCTCTGAACAAAGCAGTAGTGTGTAGTGTTTAGAAGCCCAGGGGGTTTTCCTCCTCTTGACCCTTTCTTCTTCCCTATGCATTTCAGAAGCACCTTTCCAAGTTCTTTCCAAATCCTATTAGATTTGTTTTAAGTTTTTTAAATTCCACTTACTTAACATTCAGTGTAATATCAGTTTCAGGTGTACAATACAGTGATTCAAAGCCCTATTTGATTTTGATCAGAGTTGCATTAAATTTACTCTTTGAGGGAATTTTTTTTTTACAAATTTAATCTTCTAATCTAGGAGCATGGTATATCTGTATGTTTCTGTGGGTCTTCTCTTACAAATTTTATGTTTAGTCTTTCAGTCCATGGGCATGGTATATCTCTATGTTCATTTATGTCTTCTGTTAGTGTTCTTCAGTAAACTCATAATCTCCCGCACAGAGGGCTTCTATTTCTTTTTAAAGACTTAATCCTTTCATGCTTGATATTTTTATGCTATTATAAATGCTACCTTTTTGCTGGTCTTTAAAGTTTGGGACATAACAGTTGAGAGAAATCTAAATATCCATCAAGATTCACTAATAGTTAACATGTTACCATGTTTGCTTTATCTCCCTCTCTTACTAAACATGTTTCTGTCTTTATTATGTAGACAGGTAAATAGATAGACACATGCATGTGTTGCTGAACCATGTGAAGGGAAGATTCAGATATCCTGACACTGCATCACGGAATACTACACAACTTACTACATGAATCAGGGTGATTATTCTCCAACCTACCTTCCAGTTAATCAGTTCTTTCTTCACCTATATCTAATCTTTGCTAAATCTTCCCATTAAGGTTTTTTTTTTTTAAGATTTTATTTATTTGACAGAGAGAGATCACAAGTAGGCAGAGAGGCAAGCAGAGAGAGAGAAGGAGGAGGAAGCAGGCTCCCTGCCAAGCAGAGAGCCCGATGTGGGACTCGATCCCAGGACCCTGAGATCATGACCTGAGCCGAAGGCAGAGGCTTAACCCACTGAGCCACCCAGGTGCCCCATCCCATTAAGTTTTTAATTCAGTTATTCTTCTTTTCATTTCTAGAATTCTACTTGGTTCTTTCAAAATCTTTTAAAAGTTTCCTTTAAAAAACTTTTCGTAGGCCCACGTTTCTTGCAGGTATTTTTAAGCATAACTTTACTGGTAAGAATATTAAGCAAACTAGTATAGAATTCTTACTAGAAAGAATAATAAGTAAACTAGAGAGAATTCTTAGCAGCAAAGCATTGAGAATATATGCATTTAAGGCTATAAATTTCCCTTTACTGTAACCCACAAAAATAAAAAATTGAGATATAATTCACAGACCATAAAGTTTACCCTTTTAAGGCATCTAATTGAGTAGTTTTAGTATATTCATAGAGTTGCATGACCATCACTACTATCTAATTCTAGAATAGTTTCATCACCACAAAAAGACACCCCGTACTCATTAGCAGCCACTCCCCATTTTCCCCCCTCTTTCAAGCCCCTGGAAACCTCAAAATCTACTTTCTCTTTCCATGAATTTGTCTATTCTGGATATTTCATATAAATGGAACCAGATGTGGCTTTTTGTGCCTGGTTTCTTTCACTTAGCGTAATTTTGGGGGGGTTTAGTCATGTTGTAGCACGTACGTTGTAGCATGTATGAGTTCTTCCTTCCTTTTTAAGTCTGAATAATATTGCATTATATAGATATACCACATTTTGTTTATCTATTCATCAGTTGAGAGACATTTGGATTGTTTGCACTTCTGGGTACTATGAATAATGCTGCTATGAATATTTGTGTGAACATATGTTTTCCACTCTCTTGGGTATATATCTAGGAGTAGAATTTCTGGGTCATATGGTAACTCTTATGTTTAACTTCTTGAGGAGTTGCCAAGCTATTTTCTGAGGTAGCTTTTACCATTTTACCACAGGTATTGGTATGTAATATTTTCATGGTCCTTTGGCTCAAAAAATATTCTAATTCCTATCATGAACAAGTATAGAAGTATATTTCTTAACTTCTCAGCATTTGTACTGTAATAATTCTAACATCTAAAGTTTTTATGTGTCTGTTTCTGTTATCTATTATTACCCTGCTGATTTGTGCTCATGATGTTTATTTCCTTGTGTGCCTGATTATCTTTGGCTATGTGCTGGTCATGACACTTGAAAATTCATTTGTATGATTAATACAAGAATTTGTCTTTGCTTCTGCCAAGTGCCTGGTGCTATTGTACCACCATACTGGTTAGGTAAATGAAGGTCATAGCTTGAAGTTTTCTAGAATACCCAGGTAAACCCCAGACTTAAACTCCTCTTATAAAGGACGGTTCGTTTCTAATTCACTTTCATTGCATAGCCGTTGGGTTCCACTTTGTTGTAAGGAGCATGTCTTGTTAGACTTCCCACCTGTGTGAAGTGATTTCTGTTCCTATCACCACCAAAAGGAAAGTTGGAATTTGTTGAACTCAACTAATGTCCTTAGGGAAAAGTGGCATTTGTGATCATTTACTTATCAGGTCTCTGGGTTTGTTTGTTTTTGTTTTTTGTCTTTTTTGTTTGTTGGTTTGGTTTGGTTTGGTTTCAAGTACCTATTTCATGCAAGACTCTGTTCTGGGTCCTAGGGATTCAGTGGTAAGCCAAACCAGATATTCCTGGCCTCACAGAGAACTGAGTTCTAGAGTTCTGGAGAAATTTGATAGATTAATCAAATTGTTTTGTTTTATTTTTTAAACTGTAAAAGTCTGATGGTTCTGGGAAAGGAAATATAGGATTTGACCTGGTGAGGGGTTCAGGGAAAGCTTATCTAAGGAAGTCACTTGAGCTGAAATATGAGTTCTAGGATTATTGAAGTAGATGCCACTAATAACATGTGGGGCAAGTCAACTTCTTTATGAAATAACATAGAGCATAAAATAAGGATGAAATCTTAAGACATCTTCTGTTGGCTTTCTTCATACATCTGGGAGACCTAGAAATGGATTCTTAAGGGATAGCAGGATACAGTAGCTCCTTTTTTCACCAGCTGTAAAATTTCTTAGTTGTACGTTGCTAAGAGTTGAGAAGAAACAAAGCTCCAGAGATACAGCACTCCTCCCTCCCCTTCCCCCATTACCAAAAGGTGTTGCATCAGATATCTTGAAATTCACTCAGAGAAACCCCACAAATAACTAAGGCAACAAAAGCTCTCCCTTTGAGAAGCTACTTTACATACCCATAGTAACTTCAGATTTTAACTAGG